AACTGGTGCAATACTGATGGCAAAAAATGTCTTCTGCTAGTAGAATTTCATTTCTACTGGGGGGCTTCTGCTGCTATAGTTCAGGAACCAGCAGCCTCATGGTGTTAGCTGACAGAAACCTCCTTCTGTCTTATAAATGTTTCCAGCCCAGGGACTTGCTGATGTAGCTATGCCAGCCAAACTTGGTAATAAATACCAGACCTGAGAATCAGTTGCAACTGTGGACCCAGGGATATATGAGAGATGGAAGAGGAGAGGGCAGCCTAGAAATGACTGGGGTTGAGAAGAAATGTTGCATGTTAATCTCTTTGTATACATTAAAACAGGGATGTCAAACTCAGCCCAGGTTGGATCTAGACTGCGGGGGTTCCTCCTAGGCTAGATCTGTGGGGTCCATGGCTGTCACAGTAGTGGGGCCAACTGTGGTAAGAGTCTGTTGGGGTAAAAGGGACTGTCGCATCCTTTGCTTGCCCCTCTACCATCAACAGCCATATCCAGCAAGGCAACAAGCAAGGCCCCAATTTCCGATAGCCTGGTACACCAGATGGAATAGCTCTGCAAGTCAGATCCAGCCCATCAGCCATATGTTTGACACTTCTAATTTAAACTGATTGTCACCTGAGAATAAGGAATAAAACTGTATCTCATGTCTGCATTTTTCTGTCCCTGCTCTGAACATCTCTGCACTGATGTTTCTATCATACGACTATTGTCACAGTTAGACCATAACAGCAAGTACAGATGGAGGAAGATCATGTATGAGCCACCTGATGTCCCTTGTATGTTTTAAGGAACCATCCCAGAAATCACATTTCTATTCTGCAGTAATTTCCAGATTCTTATTTTTGCCCTGTGAAGAATTTTCACAGAACTAAAATCTTGCAGTTTCATTTTGGAAACATCTACAATGAGTTCTTGAAAACATGGCTCCCAGGATTCCTGGTGGTTATTAAATGAAATTGGCTTTCTTCTTGTTAGTTTAATTTCTGCCCACTATTGGGTCTATCACTTTTTGTCAACGGTGGGCAGTGTGAGACTGACAGGAATCATGCCAGTTCAACTTAATTGCTGCCAGAGTTTCCAGTCTCCAGAGCTCAGGAACAGACAGGGACTATGAGGATTGCTGGAGATCTTCACCACAGCAATCAATGTGGTGAAGTTTCATTAGAGCCATAGACCCTGCTGTTCAAAGTGACTTGCCTTGTAGGTAGGAAGGCCAGAAGTCCTAAGAATTCCAGCTGGAGTCAGGATTCTCAGGATTTCCAGGCTGTCTTGTTGGGGAACTCTAGCCTCAGGGTAGTTTGTATGACATTTCCCCCCTAGAGATGTCCCCCCTGAAAGCCAGAGCTCTTCAGCCAGTCAACTGATAGGAAACCAGGCAGGCAAAGGAAGCCTCCTTTTGCTTCATTAGAACATTTTTGTTTTAAGGTATTGGCATTTTCTAATAAGTTTTGTTGGGAACTGTCTGACCAACTCTAATAACTACACAGGCTTAACTCTCTCATGCTGTCTTCTACAATTAGTACCTTTTTCCATGAAAAAACAAAATCAAATTAAAAACACAACTCCCTCCCCCACAATTCAATAACAAAAATGGAACTAATACTGAGTGAAGGTTACCAGTGGTCCCTTGTTGCTCTTCTGAAACATTGTGCTAACCCGAATTTGTACTAGGAAACAAAATGAAGGAACAGTCCACCCCTCTGAGTGCATTCATACTCTGTCCTCTCTGAGCTATGCCCCGTCTGCCAATAACATGCTTTAACTTTCTACCTTAACAAATGTTGCAGAGGACTCTGGGAACAGAACATGTGAATGCTGGACAGAATCTAACACCTTTTATTTGCTAGGGTAATATTTATATTTAGCTCAGGTGCAGGAAACAGAAATGCCTAATGCCTTGCTGATATGCAGACATAGAACCTACTTTGCGCAGACCACCCTGACTTGCACTCTGTTTCACTCCCTTTCACCTTTATAGATTCATAGACATTAGGGCTGGAAGGGACCCTGAAGATCATCAGGTCCAGCCCCCAGGAAGTCAACTAGGGTCAAAGGATCCCAGCAAGATAAGCATCCAAACATTCCTTGAATAAGTCCAGAGTAGGTGCCTGCACCACTTCTGGAAGGAGTCTATTCCAGGCCTCGGGGCCTCGGCCAGTAAAGAAGTTTTTCCTTATGCCCCGCCTAAAACGGTCATGGAGGAGTCTATGACTGTTGGTCCTTGTTATCCCTTGGGGCGCTCTGGTGAACAGACATTCCCCCAGATCCTCATGTACACACCTTTCGTACTTATAGGCGGCCCCCAGGTCCCCCCCGAGCCTGTGCTTTTCTAAGCTGAAGAGTCCCATGGCTCTCAGCCTCTAATCATAAGGCCTGTACTCACCCTCTGATCATGCACATGGCTCTCCTCTGGACTCTTTCAAGTTTCTCGACATCCTTCTTGAATTGTGGAGCCCAGAGTTGGATGCAGTATTCCAGCTGTGGCCTCACCAAGGCTGAGAACAGTAGGATGATGACATCCTGAGATTTACTTGAGAAGCATCTATGGATGCAAGCCAGAGTTTTATTTGCTTTACCAGCTGCGACATCACATTGGTGGCTTATGTTCATCTTGTGGTCGATCAGGACCCCCCAAGTATCTTTCAGCCGTGGTGCACTGCTGAGCCTATAAGCGTGCTGTGGGTTTTTCCCCCCCCCCCTCCCCGAGGTGGAGTACCTTGCATTTTTCGGTATTGAACATCATCAGGCTTATATCCGCCCACTTACTAAGCTTATCCAAGTCAGCCTGGATCACTAGCCTATCCTCAGGTGTGGACACTATGCCAGAAAGTTTATCATCAGCAAACTTGGCCAGTCTGCTTCTGACACCAGTGTCCACATGGTTGATAAAGATGTTAAAGAGAACCATTCCAAGGACAGAGCCTTGGGGGACACCACTGGTCACAGAGCGCCATAATGATTCACTTCCAATTGACTACTACTCTCTGGGTCTGACCTTGGAGCCAATTCCCCAGCCATCAGACTGTGGTGTAGCTGAGGCCACAGTTGTCCAATTTTTCCATGAGGAGATCATAGGACACCAGATCAAAGGCTTTTTTGAAGTCCAGATATATGATGTCAATCTCTTCTCCCTTGTCCAGGTGATAAGTCACCTGGTCATAGAAGGAGGTGAGATTAGTCAGGCAAGACCTGCCTGTGACAAACCTGTGCTGGCTGTCCCTCAGGATGTTACCATCAACCAGCTTATCAAGAAGGGTCTCTTTGATAATTTTCTCTAGAATCTTACTGGGGATTGAGGTCAAGCTGATTGGCCTGTAATTCCAGGGATCTACTTTCCACCCTTTCTTGAAGATGGGTGCCACATTGGCCTTCTTCCAGTCTTCAGGTACTTCACCTGAGCGCCAAGAGTTTTCAAATATTTTTGCCAATGGTTGGGCTATGACACCTGCCAGCTCCTTGAGTAATCTAGGGTGTAATCTGTCAGGACCAGCTGACTGGAAGATGTCCAGCCTCTTAAGGTGTTCCTTTACAAGGTCTACACTGATGCTGGGTATAAATATGCCCTCACCCTGGCTGTCCCACGTCATGCAAGGCAGGGTGGTCTCTTTGGGCTGATGAAAGACTGACGCGAAGTACCCATTAAGCAGGTTGGCTTTTTCTTGGGTGTCAGTTATCAGTTGTCCCATTGGTTCAGCAGGGGTCCAATGTTACCCTTGCTTTTTTTCCGACTCCCTACATATCTGAAAAAGGACTTTTTATTATCTTTGATATGTGAAGCCAGATGGAGTTTGGTTGCAGCCTTGGCTTTCCTGGTCCGCTCACTGCAGGCATGGACCAGTGAGCAGGGGTGGTGGCTAACCTGTGGCGTGGGTAATCTCATGGCACAGCAGACTGGAGAGGGGGGACAAGCAGTATAATGGCTAATTCTCCGTTTGCTAGTGAGAATATCTAAATGCAGAGGAACAACATCCATTGTGCACCTATCATAGTAGATCTCCAGAAATGCAATTCTGGTTTACAAACTAACTTTCAGGTTTTTTTCAGTCTTTAAATCCTGAAAATTTACAGCTGGTCAGTTGATGAGCCAAATAATGCCAGCCAGCAACCTATTATTTGCCCAGGGTCTCAAATATTGGTCAACATTCCATGACACCAAGAATGCCCTGGTATAGGTGGCAGCTGGCTAGGAGTGACAGCTGCTTGCTCCCAATCCTGCAGGAGTCAGGGTCCAAACAAACCCACATCCACTGTCCTGCTCCAATTATGAGCAAGTACTCCCTTCCCTGCTTCTTAGTTCTTCCAGGCTCCTTTCCCTTCCCAGCCCCCTGTTGAGCCACATGGGGCTGCAGGAGCTACTCTGTGCCGAGAAAGGAACCAAAGCCAGCAGCATAAAAAATCTAACATATCATTTATAGTTGCTATGTGTATTTTATTTGTGTGTTAATTTTATTTTGTAGCTAGTCAGGCTGACTCTGGCATTCTGGAATAAAATCCAGGGAGAAGAACTGTTCAGTTTTGAATATTATTTACATCTATGCTTACTTAACATTGTTATAGTAATTCATTACATTTTTTAGAATTTAATTTCATTGTTTTGCAATAATAGTTAACTTTTTTTTGTAATTAGAAAAACTATAACCTGTTGAAGATTAAAGTTCCTCTCTTTACTCTTCTAATATTTTAACAATTAAAATACTTGCCCAGCATTTGCCAATATCTTTCCTGTCAGTTGAGCAGGGTTTTTTTTGACAAGTCAAATATCCAACACTACTTGGAGCTGGTGGATCAACCACCTAAGAATCTAACTGTTTAGTACAGAGAGAAAATGCAACTCTTTAAAACTCCGGCAGGTTTGCATCCTTTCCTGTGACTAAAAAAAAAATAATGCATGTTATACTATAATAGTAGTGATTTGATTTCACAGCTCAATGTGATTTAACTATTGTTTTGACTCTTAGGTATTGTTGTGGTCTAATGCAGTATATTTTTTACAGGAAGAGTACATCCTTCAGAAATGGACAAGATTTTTTCAGAGCCAAATGAGGAAAAGTAAGTTGATGAGTCCACTAAGAATTTTAGTGGCAAAAGCTGCTTTCTTTAATAGTAAAGCTTCCTCTTGCACCAAACGTAGCATCTGGCTTCAAAGATGTTGAAGCCTGTCTCGATCCCAGAAGACACTGAGAGCTTTCCTACTATAAAGGAAAGTTCCCACAAATGTCACAGTAGTATGCTGTTTAATGTCTCAGTAAGAAAAGTGTTAAGTTTTCTAGAATTGTTCTGTTGACTAGTATTAAGAAAAACTCTGCCAAAAAGTCTTAGACTAAATTGTTTTAAATTAAAACTAGGGGTGCACTGATAAAGATTTTCTTCGCCGATACCGCTAGCCAATTATTCACTAGGCATATTGGCCAATACCAATCCAATAAGTGATTTACAGGAGTGCAGCCAGGCAGTGTGAAGAGCAGCACCTCGCAGGTAAATCTGTGGAGCGGAAGGGGCATGAGGGAGAGAAAGGGTATGGGGGGAGCAAATCAAGACCCCCCACAGTGAGGGAGGGAGTAGGCAGGGGTTGGGAGTGCTGCCCAGCTGGGGTGGTGAATGGGATCCTGGGGCCAGGGTGGGAAGCAGGATGAAGCCACAGGCAGCTCATCCAGGGTATCAGTGTCCTGGCACTTAAAAATGGCAGCGGGGTCACTTGAATATCAAATGAGCTTTACTTCAAGCACCGGTGCTTTGATTTTTAAACACAGGGATGCTTCTAACTGGAGCGGAGCTGAGCGCTGCAAAGGCGGATGCAGGCTGCCTGCTGTGGGCTTGGGGTTCTCTGCCTTGCTGCCTTTGCTTCAGGAGGCACGTGCTGGCTGCACATCCCCTGCTCACCCAGCAGCAGGAGGTACAACTCGCCTCCTCCCACAACTGTGGGGCAGGCAGGGGATGCACAGCCAACACATAGCTCCCAAGGCAAAGGCAGCAGGGTGGAGAGCCCTGAGCCCGCAGCAGGCAGCCCACCTCTGCCCTTACCTCATGTACAAACCTGGGGGGAACATTCTCCCTATGCATCCCTCTGGGGGTGGTGCAGCAGCAGGAAGCCACCCCACTTCCTCCCTCCTTCCCCCCCCCATGCCCCCTGTGCGAGCTGCCTACAGCTCCATCCTGCTCCCTGCCCCTTCCCCTCCATAGACTTGCTTGCAGGGTGCTGCTCTCTACGCTGCCCAGCTGCACTCCTGGCCACATGTATGTGTGTGGCTCTGCACATGCACACTGCTCCACCCAGAAGGCGTATTATATTTATCAGCACATTACCGGTTACACCAGCCAAAAAAAACAATAGCTGCTAATGTTAATTTTTCTTTTATCAGTGCCAATCCGATATGGCACCAATATATCAGTGTACCTTTAATTAAAACAAAATTGTCCATTTTAGAAATTTGTTTTTGCAGATGGCAGTTATCTTGAATAGCTTAAATCTCTGGTGTGGACTTATGCACTAATGTCTCTGTCTTCCCCCCTCAAGTGATTGTACAGAACATGTCAGAAAGAAAAGGCTTTCCTCGGTGAGTCTGACTTCAATTACATTTTCTAGGATAAGATATTTTATCACTAGAAGCTACTAAAAATGTTCTTGCTTTTCTCATTAGCATAAAGAAAATCCACAGAATAAGAGAAAATGAGGTGCCAGTGCCCATCTATGTTTCTATGTCTAATTATAGTTCTTGTTGCTTTTATAATTCACTCAGGCTATTTAATTGTTTTTCTCCATATCCCATTGAAATAGCTATTTGCTAGATATACTGGTCAACTGACCAACTATTTTTTTAATTCTCTTAATGTTGCATCATGGAAAGAGGATGGAAATATGCAACAAAATCTGACATAATTTTCATAGAAAGATTTATAATTAAAAAGAATATACCTGGCCTCTCAGCAGGTAGCTCTTTGACAAAAAGGGAAATTATGTCTATTTAAAGGGGAAGCTTATGTACTTTATTATCTACCAGAATTGGAAGTTTTTAAAACAGTAAAGGAGGCGATTCAGACATGCAGAGTGACTTATCTACATGAATCTTGCTTTCTTATCCCTTTTCTAATATTTGAATCCTATACACTGCTGTTGCCAGATAGAATTCTGAATGGCCTTGCCATGCAGAAATCTACATATCAGGCTGTTGTGGTATTTGAAGCCCTAGTGGTTGGGAAGCAGCCATAAGGGAAGGGAGAACTGCTGCTTATGACAGCACAATAACTTGCTCTGTAGCTGTCATGTGTGCTTGATCCTGTAGGGACACAAGTGTGCTAAATCACCACAGCTTTGACCCTGGTTGAAGCAAGGTTAACAGTTGCAGCAATTTTGTTACACTTGTATAGATTCACACACACCTAAGGGGTTACAGCTTAACAGATGCTGTATAGGCCAACCCAAGAAGTAGCTGCTTCTCCCCTTCTGAAACCACTACAAATGTCCATCCTCTAAAGCATGTGCTTTGACCCCGATTATAACAGGAAATAGTGACTCCATTGCACATATTACTAACGCTACCTCATCTTTTTATGAAGTGGCCAGTTGTTGGACCCCAAGTTAATATCTTCTCAGCTATTTTAAATATTTATTTTCAGATTTTAAAGGTTCCACGCAGTCCCCTTCAGGACCTTGGAAGTGGAAATGAATTCACTCAGGTAGACTGATATTTTATTTAAGTTAAAATATTTGCTCTGCTTAGTTCTTTACTTTTTGTATGGGCTACTTGACAAAACAAGTTTCCTTGTTTTGAGAGGTAGGAGAGACCTAATTAGCAATTATTTCAAGTATTTCAAGGAAAAGTTTTGCTGTGCTGCCACACAAGTCTTTTGTAAACTACCCTAGTTAAGCAATTCTTAGTCTTGAATCAGAAGTGCTTGATCACTAAATGGGACCAAAGAGAGCCATACAGCTGTGAATCAATGTCTTAACATTCCATTATTCTGTTTACATTGATTCTGCATCAATATGGCAATGTCATTACAGTGACACAATATATTTACTGTAAAAGTAAGATCTTATGCCAATGGTTCTTGGCCAGGGAATCATAGCATGCAAGGGTGTTGCAAGAACCTTTCAGGAGTTCCATGGTACGGTTCTGCTGCCACGACACCCAGCTGGAACTGCCCCACGCATCTTGTGCACAACCAGATTTGGTAAGGACTGTGGGAGGAGCATGGTGGACCTGCCCAGGAAGTACTGTGGCAGGACTGCATACTCCTGCCTACTTTAGGTTTATCACGGCCCTAATGCAGGCAGAGTGTGCACTTGTGCTGCATCCCTTCCTGGTCTGGCTGCACATGAGACATATGGGACAGTTCCACCTGGTGGTGGCGGTAGCAGCACCCCAGTGGAGAATCACTGAGGTAAGCTGAAGCCCTATAACTGTGGTTCTTGATCAGAATGCTGCCAAATTTTACAAAAAGATATGGAATGATGCCCCAAATCTAAAAAGTTTGAGAAACACTGTACTCTGTTCTGATTTTGTAGTGGGGCTAGGAGGTTGCTTTTTACTTCCTTTTCTACTACATCCATACTGAAATTAATGCATCCTTTTTCATCCCATCCTTCCTGACTAGCTGCAGGGATTGAGAGGAATTCTGTGAAATCTTGCTGAGCATCATTTACATTTTTTTAATATGTCAAATAATGAGAGAAACGTATCATTAGTGTTTTGCTTGCTGTGCTGAATACAAGATTGATTCCTGAAAGAGCAGTTCCACAAGAGCTACTTGCTGCGAAGGTGGGATATAGAAATCCAGAAAAGGGAAGAAAGGGAAAAAATAGAGATTGGAGGTTATTTTGTTCTTGATAAATTAGATGTGGTTATAGCAAAATTTGCAGCAATTGTGATTTAGAAAGGGAAAATGTCAGGCACATCCTAATATTAGTATCAGGCACTGTTTCCCAACTTTTTCCAGCCCAAGGCACACTTAGATTAATAAAAATTTTCCGTGGCACACCTGGTAAAGCAATCCCCATCCTCATACCTATTGTAGCTCATTGCCGTGTCAAAATTCTGCGGCACACCTGTTCATTTCTGACAGCAGACTTTTGTGCCATGGCACACTGGTTGGGAAACGCTAGTATAAGGAACAGGCAGTGTAAAAAGAAATTCTTTAAGGGCTGCAGCATTACTATTTGCATATGATTTCCAGGCTTGTTGCTCTAATTAGCTGTTAAAATATGTCAACATATGTATAAGTGTGTCACATATATTGTATGCCCAAGCTTTCCCATGGAATGTTGTACTGATTGCATTTATATGGAATAAGAACTGCTACCTATTTTCCAATCAAATGGTTATGCCCTTCACATTCTTAGGATTACCATGCTGAGAAACGTCGGAAGAGCTCTCGCCGTGTCAGCTTTGCAGACACCATTAAGTAAGTTCAACTGGGAGTCTGATTGTATGTCACAGGCAGTATGCTGGTAGCCACCAAAAACAAGATGTGTTCATAGGTTTGTAGGAAAGTAGGGCTGGACAGGATCTTACCAGGTCATCAGCTTCAATTCCTTGGTCCAGGTAGGATCATCCCTCACTAAATCAACCCAACTAAGTGTATGTCTGACCTGCTCTTGAAACCTTCCAAAGATAGATATTCTACAATTTATCTAGGTAGCTTGTTCCGGTGCTTTACCATGCTTACAAGCAAAAAGTTCTTCCTAAACTCCAGCCAAATTTCTCCTGTTGAAGCTTGAGGCTATTGCTTCTAATCCTTTCCCCTACTGCCACAGAGAAGCCCATCTCCATTCTCTCTGTACTAGCCTTTCAGGAATTTGAAGTCTTTTATCAAATCAGCCCTGAGTCTTCTCTAAATTAAATAACCCTATTAGGGGTTGTGGAAGAAATCAAACTTCGCGTTGTGGTTGAATCAGAACTGACAGAGCCAGCTTTTCTTTATTTAGGGCTATACTGTGATCACAGGGAGAATTCCATACAGCAAGGGGAATCACCCACTTGTCTGTTTCAAAGGATTTCTCAGACTCTCTAAGGTTACAAGCATATTTATACTTAAGACAGAGAAAGACATAAAAAAATATACCTTGGAGAAACAAAACAATAGTAAATTACACAGAAACTTAGAAAGTTTTACTTAAACAAACTATCTATGCATAGGGCAATATATCAAGATAACCCAAGGAATGTAGGCATACGGATTCCTTATCTCAGAGCAGTATCAGTACATCTGGTCTTTGTCTGTTTTTCTAGTCAAGTAAGCTAATTACTTCTACAGGGTGCACCAATAAAGATTTTTTTTGGCCAATACTGATTAATAGTCTATATCAGCTGATATTGATCTGATTGCTGATATACAGCCCAGCAGCTTGGAGAGCAGTGTCCGGCTGGTAAGTCGGCTGGGGGGAAAAGGGGCGTAGGGGGACTGATTGAGCCCCCTGCACTGAAAGAGTGTGCATGGGGTGGGGTGGAGGCAGGCATTGGTCAGCC